TTCGGCAAACGGTCGACTCGATTGTCGGTGCACGCGCGGTACACGTCTGGAGAAAATTGGACTAGCATTGGCAGGTTCGAGGGGATGTCGTCTCGAAATAATAGTTCATGCTACTGATGTATTAACGATTTTGCAAAAAATGTAAACTTGGCTCGAGGTTCGTAATCTACATCGATTATTGGAGTGTTTTTAAGAGAGGTAGTTGTTCTGTGATTTTTAAACAGGTTTATTAATTGAACCTCGTGAGTTTCTTTCTTGTCTCTAAGTGTAAGTGGAATTTAATAGCGGATATATGAAATTACATCCTATTTTATACGTACTATAGACGGTTTAAAGAGCCTGCAGCAATCGTAGAATTTCGCTCAATTTATATTGGCACTTAAAAACGAGATTTTGCTCTGTAAGTATTTCCCTGTTTTCACAAAAGTGTTGTAAAAGTAAGAATATTTACACTTTTAATTTTATGATAGTACAAGCATTATTGTAGAAATTAAATCGATACTTTTATCAAATCTCTTGCATTTAATCGTGCTTTTTATTCTTATCGTTTATTTGCTATTTTCAAAGCTGTTTTTAAAAGTACTTGAAAAATTTGGCGTCAATCGTAAAGTATTTAATGTTAGTTAGTTAAATACTTCGAATAATGTAATTGTTACTAATGTAATTTTCTTGCTGATTTCACGTTTTCTTTTTATTTCAGTATCGATTAGTGTAAGAAATAATAAAATCCTTGATATTGAAAACGAAAAAATTCCAAATTTTTATTCCAAAATGTTGTTTATTGTATCATCGACTATCACTATAACTGATAATAATTGAGTTTATTAATACAATAAAAACAAGTTTGTTATCTTTCTTTCGATATTTCACTTTATATATTATTAGAACTTATTAATAAAACTTTGACCACCTGTTTAAAAATTTATAAAACTACCGTTATAACATTTATTAATTTATTAATTAATTAACAATCCACTTTTATTCGCGCGATAACGTAAAAATTTATCAATATATCATTTCGTTCGACAAATTAAATTTGCGTAACGTTTCTTTAACATTAAAGCTACCAAAGCTACAAAATGGCTTGTTTCAAACATTGTATTTCTGCAATTATTGAATATATGTGGCTGCTCTTGATAAAACTGATATTGATTTTTGTTGAAACAGTATATCGTAATTACTCATGCTACTTTATTTTCCTTATAGCATTTTCAAAATATCTAATATCAGCTGTGTGCGCTATATATAGGTATAAATACATTATAGTTGGGTATATAGATTATTAATTAAAGAGAGTTCTATGAGAGAAATGCGAGAAACATTGAAACAAAGAAAAATTAGGATCACAAAGCACAATGTTATCTATTTTTCATCTCACAAAGAATATCTTGACACTCTATCTAAGTACACTTATATTTCCAAATATTCCTATTTCCAACATATTATTTCCCATGGACAACTAAAAGAAGCTCGTTAAATATTCCTAGCAGAGGTCACAAAACTCCATTTTCCACCAAAAGTGTTAATTTCAAATTATACATTCGTATACGTGTAATTTAATAGTATATTAGTACTAGTATATGAATAAGAATATAAATATGAATAATGGTAATATATATATATAATTTAATACACATATAATTTAATAGTATATGAATAATAATAGTACGCGAATATAAATATGAATATAGATGGTGGTAATATGTGGATTAATAGTATATGATTATAAATATGAATAATGGCTAGTATATGATTAAATAGTGTGTAAATAATAATAATATATGAATTAATTATATACGAAGAATAATAATGTATAAGTGTATATGTGTGTTTCTACATTACTTCTTTTCATTAACACCCTGTACCAAAACGATCAAGCAACCTCTCGCAGGCCATAACAGTCGGTGTACTAGGACGGGAATATGAGCAGGACAACCTTGAAACAAGCCGATGAATCGAGTCGCCAACGTTCCCCTGTCCCCACGTTTCCACATTCCGAACGCTATGCAGAATCCGCGAATCTCGTAGCTGGTTAATAGATTGATCAGTAGCACGGATAAAACGATTGCTCTGCCGGCCGTTTATCCGGCTATCTGCTCGGCCGTCCGTCTTTTTGCCCTCGACGAACAGCCAATTCGACGAATTCAATAACTCGCTGTCCCGCGTGCTCGTGCGTCGACCTTACCCCCACCTCCTCGCGGCCTGCCCCCACCGCGACGATCGCAGGGTAGGGCGCGCTGCTCGCCGCAGCTCCATTGGCGGCGGGGCGTGGCACCCACGCCCACTCGCGTGGCTCCGGCCTCGAGGACCTCGCGTCACGCTCCGCAGAACCGGATCGCCGATGCGCACACCGCATTTAACCGCGCAACGCATTTAACCGCGCACGAACGTGCGAACCGACTCGAGGGACCAACCCTCGAGAGTCGTGAGCGGGCCCACTACGAAGGAAGGGACGATCGTTTTTTCCTCCCGATCCTGCGAAATCGATCGCGCTCGCTTGCTTGATCCGCTCGATTTCAGTTTGTTGAAACTGCGTCTGCAAATCTATGTAATACCACTTCACAGGGTTATGTTGGAAATCAGCTTGGAATAAATTCAGGTTCCAGTGAATCGCAGTTTTCACAATCTGAGATTCGAACGATGTCTGTTTATAATCTAGATTATATCAGAATACTTCCATGGAATAATCGCATAATGTACCTCTACCATATTGTTGCTGGTAATTTTGGCAGTCATTTTGAAAATGGTCTGAAAGAAATTATTTTTTACAGCACTGTTGTAACATTTACTTTTCTTCTGTTTATTATTATTTTACCTCCCTTTTTCTTTCCTTTTGTTTATTGTTTGTGCATATGTACCGTTAATTATGAAAATAGTCTAACTTTAAGTCGAAGATCTGCGAGAAGTGAATTTTTTGATTATTTCGTATTGCATCGATGTACTTTCTAAAATTCTAAAACCACTTTCGAAAAGTAGGAGAAAATAGAATCACTGGATTGAGTTCATATTTGTGTCGAATATAATTTTTCAATTTTTTCCAAAATTTCTGATATTTCGAAACAGAAAATATGTTATGACTTGTATTCAAATTATTGTAGTCTCTTTTTGATACTACCAATCGGTTATCCCGTAGAAATAAATAAATAAACGTTACAATAAAATTAAACTGTTTTTGAAAAAATTGCGAAACATTGAATCGTTATTTTGAATTTTTCTAATTGCGCGTAATTAATTTTTTTATTCGAAATATATTTGAAACGCGAACTTTTTAATACTTCGAAATGAAACATAATAACTTAGGCTACTTTCACGATCATCTGTATAATTGTAGAACTTTGGAGTTCACGCAACGGCGACATTTTGTTCTATTTTCTTGATTCTATTTTTGATATTCTTCAAATTTATACTTCTGACATAATAGTAGAATGAATTGTATAACGACACATTTTTATTTTGTTTTAAATTGGCAACGCTGATTCTGTGTCTACGCCAATGCGTTATCATCTTATTTCAATTTTGCCTGGAAATATTCTTACACGCCCTCTGTTATGTGATGTAATACCATTTTATTTTTTAAATATGGCTGTTTTGGATAGTAACGAAAGCTATAATCCGATTGTGAGTAAATTATGGTAAATAAATAAAAATTTGCAATAAAGTATGACAAATTATGAAAATTATATTACTCAAATTCCAAATAATAATAATAAATTTACTTTAATGGAAACCAATTATACAGTTATGTTAAGGAATATGTGATATGACGCAAAATATGGTTTTATAAGATGTTTTATTATGAAATGAAATGAAATTGTATAATACATTTGCATTATGCTATAATGCAGTTATAGTTATAGTAAATTAACTATCGTTAATTAGTTATAGTTATATAGTTATATTGTTATAATTAATAAGTATAGTTAATTTACTATATATAGTTAAATATAATTGCAATATATTACATTATATGAAATTGTCCTAAATAATTATACATGAAATATAATTACATTTTAATTATATTTTGGTTACATTATTTCAATATTTCTCTCTATTAGTTGACTAGTGAATTGAATTATAAATTCTCAGCTGGATAAAAAAATTAAGGTATTAATTACTATTAACTACTTTCTAACAAATGAAAAAAAAATGTTGCACAAAGGTATTTGGATAAAATGTCTAACAGTAATGGTATTCGGTAAAGATAGAACAATTTATGATTAATGTTTAGTTGTCTTTTTCTTTCTTTCGTTCTTTTTTTGTGAGCATTTATAACCAGATGAAACTGCTAGGTTATTCACCTAACTTTGTTTTATTTTTGAATTTTCAGATTAAACATCTTTAACCTTTAATTATGTAAATTATAATTAATCGTAAAAATTAGAAATCTAAATGATAGAATATATCTACATACATAGCAATCGTAATTATTAATAATCTTTAATACTTTGCGCTGAACATAGCTGTGTATCCAAGAAGGATTTTTTTTTTGAAAGGAGTTCTCTCCTTTAGGTATATAAATTTTTCAAACTTTTCTGGATTTGGAATTGACTTATAATTTATATTTCAATATTTATATTTCATGCTATAACTTAAATAATTTAATTCGTATTAATTATTTATACATTATAAAAAATCATAATAGTTATAATATATATATATATAATTAAATAAAATATGCGATATAATATTTTTTGAAATTTTTCCCTTGAAGAGCGTATGTATAGCCCCCCTCTAAATCCGCTACTGGTTGGAGAAGTCACTTCAGAATAATAACTCGAGTAACGAATAATCGTTACTGACCTACCTTTGTATGTTCGTTGAAAATTGTCTTTGACAAACCTAAAAATACTTAAAACATTCGAAAGAAAAATCGTTATTCATTCTTCATCGTGTTTTAAAAAAAATTGTTAATTTCTCATAGCAGAAGTTTCAAGGTTGCTAGGTCGTTACAGTAAAAAAAAACTTGGGATGTAAGGATTAACTACGTTCATAAACACATGTATAAACATAGCATTCACTACCATGACAATCAGCAATATTCAACTTTCCATTTACGCTTCGCTGGTCACAGTTAGTAACAATTATATGATGAATAAATGTTAAAATTATACGATACTTACATTTATAGCAGTATATCTCTGATTACTATCTTTAATATCAATTAAAAAAATCTAATTAGAGAAGAACATAAAATATGTAACATATATTTTATGTAACTACGTTATAAATTTTGTGATATATCTTATTGCTCGTTTTAATTATTCACTAAAAGTTAATTCATGTAAATTCATACATTTGAATTAGTTTAAAAAATTCGCTATAATCATTCTTAACCTCAAATATATATATGTCAATTTATAACATTTACTTTTACATATTATTTTTATTTTATTCTTATATACTATGTGTAAAAGAAACTATAATTTAATGTTTAACAAATTGTTAAAATTTTTAGGAATTTTAGATTCCTATAATATGAATTCATGATAGTTATAATCTGAAACTTCTGGCATTTCAAAAGTATTTTATCTCCAAGTGTCAAATGACACACAAGTGGGAATGTCAGAACGTAATTTGTATTCAATTATAATTATAATTATAAATATAATTCTTAATATACACCTAAAAGCTATAAATTGTGACAATAGAACCCAAGTTTTTTATGGACAATATTATATGAATTCTGTATAAAATTGTATGTATTTCACATAATTATTACACAACTATACAGAGCAATTCTCATATGAGCTCCAAATTAATTAATTATTCAATCAAACCATAATTTGAAAGTTACGTTAATTTTTCTTTTATTCCTTTAATATAAATGAAGAATTAAATAAATATTCAATAGGAAATATTAATGCATAGTAGATCTAAGAATAAATATTTAGATATTTACATCAAAATTTTTTATATAAATTAAATGAAGTATTTTTGTCATAAATTCAAAATATAACACACTTAAAATATTAAACCATACCATAAATAATGATGTTTCATGTCTAATTTATTAAATATACATAACTAAATTTAATGGGATACCAAATCAAATGTATAATACTTAAAAAAGCATATCTTACAATTGAACAAAAAATGGACAGTAAAATTCAATTACAACATTGTATAGTGAATAAATTCAAATAAAATAATAAATAGAATTGCAGACATGTGTGAATAATAAAGCGTAAATGTTGAAAGTAATAAAATATCAACAATACCTTATAAATTTCTAAATGATGAATAACAATGTAACATCTTAATATCCTTGTAATATACTTATAAGTATATGAAAATACAAAAAAGGCTATTAGATAAACTAATGTTATAAACACATATAAATAAAATTATCTTAAAACAACTCGAGTAATAACAAAGTTAAAATTCAAATACTTTTAATAATGATTCCATGTTTTGCTTCCATTCTTACATATTATTATATATTTTCAATACATTTAACTTAAGCTATAACATTATTGTAGATATTAAATAATCTACTATGTTGGGTGTATAAAATAATACAAAATAATGTAAAAATAACATGCGTTTCAAGTAATTTTGAAGTCATAAAATACTACTTCACATATACCTTTCTTAGTTATAGTTTCTAATAAATTTTCTATCCGAAAAACACGTTAATTTATGGAGTGTTAAATACACTACTTATTTCTTATGAAACAAATATTATTTACGATATTCAACGAAATATTTAAATATTTCAAATTTATCATAACATTTGTAGCGTTTCCTTTTTTATGGTTATAATATAACAGTAAATTTTATTTTCACGGTTCAATACTAATCAATATAAAAATTACTTAATTATGCTATAAAGTGATATTATTAAATGAACAAAAATTATTGAAGTTTAATCTTAAATAATATGCATTAAAATAATAGATATTAAATGAATTACATTAAAATTTCTTTAATACATATATGCATACTTAATATATACATATAGGAATTTTTTATATAATACCTGGACATATTCTTTATAAATTTTAATTAAAATAACAAAATACTATTAGATTCAAATTACAAACATCATTTAAATATTATCTACGAGGAAGGAAATACCAATTTAAATAAAAAATAAACTATATAGTGATCCTATGAGTATTTAGTAACTTTAATAGTAACTTTTAATAATGAAATATATATTTGAAATTTTAAGTCTTCACTTGCTTTATTTTAGTTACAAGTGTAAAAAATGTAAATGTGTTTCAGTTTTTTATTATTTCACTATTTTTTTTTTAATTTAAATAAATATTTATTTAAAAATCATAAAAATTGTATTTTAATGGTAGTATTGTCATGTAACCTAGTAAAAAATTTTCAATATGACATAATATTTTCAATAATTCAAAATTATATGATAAATATAAATTTTTATACATTTTTATATTACTTGTCATATTATGTACATTATAAATTTAGAAGAAAGTATTTGTACAAATTATTTCAATTGTATTATTGATTACATTTAATACAATCTTCTATTTATTAGTAAATTATCAAAAAATTAATAAGTGCATCTTTTTAAAATAAACTCACTAGAACAACAAAATATTAGTGACTTTCTTGTTTCTGTCAAATTCTACGTATGTATATACTGTGTGTACATATATCCTATATATTACTTAGGTACTCGATAAAACCTTTTGTTTACCAATTACTCAGGCAACCGAGGAAATTATAATGAGTGACGATGATCGAGACATCGACATTGAGAGCGATGTAAGTTCCAAAAGGTGCTCTTTCAATGAGTCTTATTACAGACATCGTTTTTCAGGAAGGTGACGATTCCGATTCTAGGCAGAGGCATTCAAATAACACCCAATATTATTCTCAAGTAAGTTCATTGTTTACTTTTATTTTGATTGTTTGCCTTTTAATTCAATTCATTTATTAAACATTTCTTATTTAAGTAACAAAATAAACATATTTTGACAATAAAATATGGAGTTTGATTATTGTTAAGGTTAGGTAGACGCTTTCCGCTTGATTTAACTAACAAGATAGTAGAAAATATATTTTCCTGTCAAATAATCTATTATTTAGTATTATTAAACGAATCTTATATGCTATATCAATATATTGATCTGTATATTTAATTTCTTCAATTTGACATTTGGACACGTATCTTTAATAACAAAGTTAAATATAAGTTTATATTATTTATAATATAAGAATTTAAATGTATAGTTCTTATAATTGGCATGGAATATAACTTGATCTAGCAATTTTAGATTACATAATATAAAGAAAATAATGAAAATATATTCTTAGGCAGAGAAACGTGCACACCATAATGCATTGGAACGCAAACGTAGGGATCATATCAAGGATAGTTTCTCGAGCCTCAGAGACTCTGTACCTGCATTACAAGGAGAAAAAGTTGCAAGCAGAGCACAGATACTTAAGAAAGCTGCTGAATACATACAGTTTATGCGTCGCAAAAATTCATCACATCAACAGGATATTGATGACTTGAAACGTCAAAATAGCCTTTTGGAGTCTCAAAGTAAATGTTAATCTGATAATAAAAAATGTATTTACAAATTAGATTTAATTATATTTTATTTAACGGTTTGTTGGAAATTGAAAATATAATTTATAAAAAAGATATAACACTTACTGCTAATTAAATTTTTATTTTGTATTTTAAATAAAAGTTTTCGTTTTACTTTTAGATTTAAGTATATACTAGAATATGATCAGCATAGTATAAATCTGATATATTTTGTGTTTTAGATTTTTAATGTAACAAAAACTTCCTTTGTCAATCATAAAGAAAATTTTTATACTTGAAATATCTTAAAAAATAAGTTCAAATTTTTATATGTCACAGTTGTATGTTACTAATCCTCATATTACTTGTAGTTAGAGCTCTTGAGAAAGCAAAGATAACAGGCAATTTCGCAGCAGAAACTTGTGAAGTTACAAAATCAGAAGGTGTACCAATGCCAGGATACAATGATACAGAATCTGAATCTTCAGATAGTGAAGCAAGCAGAACTGTGCGTCAATCAAAAAAGCTAAAAGTTGGAGGCCTCCATCATTGACCAATGGTTTGATCCAATCCTTATTCTCCAAAAAATTTATTTTTTCGTTGCAACTAAACTCTATATAAATATTTATTTCCAAAACATGAAGACACTTACTCACTGAAAAGCAGAAAGGAAAAGAACTTTTCAGTGGAGTTTTGAATGTCTTAGAGCCAGTGTACAAAATACAAATTATAGATAATACTATTGCTGCATTTGAAGGTTAATGAAACAATTCATTACAAACAATTTGGAACAATCTTTTAAAGTATTCAATTTATAAATTTATAAAAAGTTCGGGACTATTTTGTTGATTAAATAATCAATACAAACTAATAATGTATCATTAGATACTTCCATTTATTTTTTGAAACCATTATATTGATAAAATGTTTAAATTTAATTAATGTAGTGCTACTTAAAACTTTTAAATCATTTTATCAATACAGTTTCCTTAAACATAAGTAAATAACTTTTTTTAAAGTTTTAGTTCCAAATCTTTTCTTTATTTTATTATAATTGTTTATTTGATGATTTGTCATAATTATTGTTTGTAAATTTATTAAACAATCAGAAATTATTAAATGTATGCTCAATTATAGGACTTACGAAATTCTTAAAATTATTTTATTGTTTAAATAAAAGTTTAATTATATTAATAAAAATTTTAATATTAGAAGATAAATAAAAAATTTTTTAAATTACTCGATTATTTAATCACTTTTTAACCTAATAAATGTGTCTGTGTAATAGTAAATAAATATTGGTAATGGTATAATATTTATTTTAATTAAAATATTTACTTTTTTGAATAAAAGTATTTCTTCCTTTTAGACTTAACAAACATCTTTGTAGATAAATGGGGACTACTATTAAATTAATCAGTTATAACATATTATTCTAAATTTTAGCGGAAAGTGATGTAACCTATAATATTAAGAAATATGAAATTTATTTTATAAATTATTAAAAGTTGATTAGTATCAAATGTAAAAGTATTAGATACTTATAATTATTAGAAATAAAGATCATTTGTGAAAAACATTTCATTTATACACTTTTTACAATTTTCAGTTATTAAAAAATTGAATAAAACATCTTAATATAAATCATACATTAAACGAAAACCTTCATATGTGAAACTATCAAACCTGATAATTTAAAATAAAATAGTTATAATAGTTTATATATGTATAAATGATTTTATTATTTTTAAGATTAAAAAGTTATATAATATCCTGTTTAACTGAAGCACTTTAAATGTCTTATTTGTTTATCATAATAAGGAAAAATATTTGAAGATTTGTTTCAAAACCATGTATTACAATAAGCAAAGAATTTTTCTAAAAATAATTAAAATTTTTTTTAAGTAAAACTACACATTTTTATTGTCATAGCATAATAATTGAGATCAAGACTGATATAATAAGTTATAACACCATGACTTCCGCATGATCTTAAATACAAGAAATTCAGATATATATAAGAATTAATGAAAGAAAATTTCATTAATTTTAATACATTTTTACACGTGATAAATAATATAATACATGATAAATTGTCTGATGCTCATATCATAAGTCATTGAAATAATCTTGACTTTAGGTATTATTATGATAAAAATTAGATATTCTGATTTTAAAAAATATTGAAAATCTTGAAATATATGACCTTGACAGAAATTGATTATTTGTTGTATATCTACCTCTTTAGAATAACCATGAATTATCCTTTGTCATATTTTCTATCATCAAACACAAATAAGATATTTAAGATGCTCAAATTGAACCAAACAAACTATATTTATGATAAGTTAGATTAGTATTTTTGTCCATTATTTTTTAATTATGTAACTGCATAATTTTAAAATCTATATTATTAAACTTTATCTCAAATATCCGGAAATTCTCTTTATATTTTTTTTTTTTAAATCAACATTAATAATAATTTTTACAGACTAACCAAATATACTTAAACTATTATCTATAAAAATAAAGTAATTCTATCTCTCTATCCAAAACTAATACTACATGAATTCATTTCATTCAACTAAATAAAGTACATAATTATTAAAAAAAATATTATATATAAGCTCATACGGACTGAAAAACAACTACTAAAAACTTTGTATCTTAATAATCAATTGACCGTAATCGAGTTGTATTCCAATGACTAGATAACGACTCAGAATAATGCAAATAAATTTCATTGGCACACGCACGCGCGTTTACCCTTGCACATTCCGTTGCAGTAGGTTTAATGTCAAACAAAATAAATCTGTATGAACACGAAACTTCAGAGCCTAATAATTTGCCATTCGAACGATTATCAAAGTGTAGTGTTTTCAATGGTTGTATCTGAACTTATACGAGCTCCAAATTAACAGAAATAAAAATTTATTATTTTTCTAATATTTCATATGTTGATTTATTTAAATGGATCGAAGATAGTAGTGATATAAGTTTTTAAGGTATTGGTAGTCATGAATATAATTTAAAGTTTTTATGTTTCTACACCAGCTTCCGCTTAGTTTAGATTTATAAATTAACTAATGTTACTACAATAATTAACATTTTCGAATCCTATTTTAGTTTTTTTTACTAGATTTTTAAATGAAAACATACATGCAATATAATATAAAAAGTTATTTAAATAAAATATTTATAAAATACAGTCACAGACATAAAGTTTGACTTTCAATGAGAAATAGAATAAAGAAGTATGTGAATATTAATATGAAATAATGAAAACGATCGTAGATTTACTTCTACAAGATTAGTATAATATTAAAGAAATTAAATAACTTAAATAAAAAAAAATTTTTAATTGTAAAATTGAATTAAAAAGTTTTATTGCATATATATGAAATATAAAATAATTCATTATGATTAATAACAATAATTACAAATTGTTACTACATAATATGATTTATAAATAATAACTATAAGATTAAGTTATACTGTGTATTAAAACAAATGTCTATAATAGGAATGAAAGATTGACATCTGTAGAACTGTAGGAAAGAATTGAAAAAAATTTAGTTTAAAAGAATTGAAAGTTTAATTTGTTACTTGAACTTATAATAAAAAGACCATATATTTATCCATATTATGTCTAAATTTGATAAACGATGTACTGAAGATAGTAAACTATAATGTAATTGTACAGTATGAAGGTTAGAATTATAAATACGTGAATGATTAAAGAGGCAAAAACTATAGTCATTTCATTTTTATTACATGTATATAATAAAAAAAATTATATTTTTGTTATAGTTTTAAATTTTCACTTTTGGTTTAAGTCCTTATTAACGCCATATTACATTGACTATGAATACAAAATCATTTGTACATAAATCATCTTTTATATACAAAATAGTTATGTTCTTAAATCATATAATTATAATAGAAATAGATAAATGCCGATTATATTCATTATAGTCATCATATGTTATAATACAGATTTAAAACTCAATAAATCTATAGTTAAGACAAAATAAACTTATTAAATAAGAAAAAGATAAAATATACTTCTAAGTACTAAAATAGTAAAATATATATTGCTAATTAAAACAATAGTACATTTACTTTTTTAAGTGGACCTCCAAATTCTTCTTATAATATTACATGTATTCCTTTGTAAATAAGACTATTCTTTAATCGTTAAGAATTCTGTAGTTATTTTACTCTAATGCTTTTAATTACTGATTTATATATTTCAGTTATACTTGTTAATTAAAAGTAATATTTTATATCTTTATTAATAATTATAATTAATCATTAGAACTATTTTTAATTGTTTCAATCTAGTAAAAAAAAATTCAAAGATAAATAATTTTCATAATTTGAATTATTAATATTGCAATGCACAATTCAGAATTATAAAAAGATATGTTACAAAATTTTCATACTTGCTATTTATATGGTACAAAGTTAGACATAATAAATAAAAAATCAATTACAAATCATTGTCTTATATATAACTTTCATAAAATTGTGATGAAGAATGCGATACAGAACGGAATTTAGTCATAAATTACATATTTACATGGTGTGATCACTACTACTCTTATAATTATGGACATATTTACAATCTTTAGTAAACAAAAAATAAATTAAGTTAGTTACAATTTTTTATTACGAAATATTGTATATGTGTACCACAAATGAATATAAATTACATATTGTTCATTAATCTACTTGCTAAGTTTTATTAAAGATATGTGATTTTTACATTTTTTCATTATGTATATAGACATAGTTTTTAATAACTATGAATATAACAATATATATAATAATTGTACCAACATAAACTATAATAACTATAAAAGTACAATCTGAAATATTTCCAGGTATAATGTATTTTATATAAATTTCAATCTATTTAATTTGAAATATAATATATATCATATAAATTTATTTTCTTTATAAAACCATGTGTCAAAAATCACTAATGAAATAAATTTTTTTATATTTACCAAAGTATAATTAAAAAATAATTACAAAATTATTGTATAGTAATTCTACATTTGATTTTGTAATTTTACATCTTCAATAGTATCGAATCATTCTTAAATTCATAAAAACAAAGGCTGTTTGTAGATCAATAAATTTATTTTTGCTAATATATCACATATAGAAGAAAACATTTTTAAAAAAATGTTTCATTGTACATTAAATGATATTTTAGTTTGATATGATATTGTGATGGCATTTTAATTATTAATATCAATTTGTATTTTAAGTTTATATTTATATTTTTTCATTGTTCTATTTGTACTGCATTGTATCACTTGTATTACATATTTTAATAAGCAATATAAAATTTTTAATATATTCAGTATTTTAAATTTCGCTCTCTATCACAATACCATGTAGCGTTTTTAAAACTACATAAGTAAATATATAATAAAAGACAAATGGTGTTAAAATTGAATTCCCTAGAAATTTTGTATGGCACTGTCATGAGTTCAAACTTGGAAAACTGTCAAAATAGATGTGGTTAAGATAAATTTAGGATGAGCAATGTATAAACTATCAATTATAGGCATTTAGTCAATAACATTTTGATAATTATGGTAATTGTGATAATTAGAAACAATAACCGTAAATGGTAATGCGTGCATTATTAACAAATACAAAATATTAGATTGAAAAATATTCGAGACTACAAATGTAGGATAACATGTTCATATTAAATTAAATATTTTATATAAAATTTATTCTTGCTTTCAATTAATTAATTACGAATACTACATTTAATATTGTATATTTTATCTGCAAAATAATGTTTCTTAAAGAAAAGCAAAAAACATACATGTACATAACTTGGACAATCATATTTTACTTGAAATATCATTACAAGTAAAATTTATTTCCATATTTTTAATGATATTATCTAATATATAATATGTACGTAAACTTACCTTGTAATGTGATCATCATGCATATATATAATAAAATATATAAATTAAGAATTTAAAAGATTGAAAAAAATTAGTTTCACATAAAAAACTTAAAATTAAGAAATGTTAAGATCTTAATTATGTCATGATATTATGTTATCATTTTTTTTCATAAAACTTTTATCATATCTATAAAAATAAGTATATTTTATTTTATTCACATCTAATATAATCTTATTATATATATAATACATATTCTAAATAAAATATAAGTAAACATTAAAATTATAAAGTGATTATTTTAATATGTAAATTAATGCAATTTTACTGATATTTTGTATACTTATATACAAATAATTACCAATATTTTTAATAGAGTTATATTTATTATATTGTAATTATCTTAATTCTATAGTAATTCATGTTTTATTTTTTTCTTAAATTAATTAATTAATTCTTAAGTTAATATCTTAACATTAATAATATAAAATTTGTCTTTTAATTATTGTTATTAGTATTCACATTGATTATCCACATATCCACATTTAAAGAAATGTTATACAAAATAATTTCTCTTGTTCGTCTATGAAATGTGTCAATCCATTGTTCTTACCTGAATATCCATGCTATGATATTTAATCTATCATGTATCAATGACTATTTGTTTTAGAAAAGGGCCAGAAGTTTAATATTATACTATTATACTTATTGCAATCTTTTTCTATTTTCACTATTTGTAAAGAAATCAAATCAATAATTATTAATTTTATATTTATCAGGTTAAAAATTAATGTCTGCCATCTATTTTCATATAATTGAAAAGAACGTTATATAGTTTCTTATAAATGTAAATTAATCAAAAGTCTAAAGTATCAATATATTTCATAACAAATTTATATAAAAAATGAGATGAAATTAGATGAACATATATACATAGTAAATTTATTTTTAACTTACACTAAATATAGAAAATAATTATTAAAATGTAGCCTACATAATAAACTTAAAGATAAAAGAGAATACAAGAAATTTGTCATTACTTTCCTATTTTTTTAGTATTCAAAACTGAAAAATATCAAATATTAAGATAATATTCGTATAATAATAGATATTTTCATTATTATATTTTCATATTATCTTATGTAAATGCTATAGTATAAATATAAACAATGTAAATGAATTGTAAATCATTATTAAGAAAATTTTGAAATTAATTTTTGGTTTTTAATGAATTGTAGACAGATTGAAAATATAATCTGTTTAATCACATATTATTAATTACAATTTCATTTTCCAGGATTAAGTCATTACGTCATTGCTTATACATTTTCCCTATAGAATTTTAAAGATAATTGTAAGAACATTTTATTTAAAACTTGAATCTGATACTTCTTGGAAATATATACATACAAAAGAATTCAACTTTATGATATGTTATAAATATAATTATACATAATATATTACAAAAGAAAAATAACGTATATCAAAATTCAGTAATAATTATATGAATCAATTATATAAATTTTAATAAATATTTTATAACATGAAACATTACATTTAATTATAATAATTGGATTATTAATCTAACAAAAAAGAAATATGAATGATTTTGAAAATCAAATATATGTAATATAATTATATTCTTTAATTATATAAAAATTATACTCACAAGTATATAAAATGATTTGTTATATATAGGCACTGTTTTCGAAATAATTTTAACATAAATATGTAATAAGTTAGATAAACATATGTTTTTCTTAACCTTATTTTAAAATTCCGAATATTTTCAAGTTATTTTATTTTCCAAATAAATTAAATAAATATTATTGATTCTATTCAATTTTGTGCAAATAATGTATATAAATAAATAATTCCACTACCTTATATTTTGCAAGGATTTATTGAATGAATATTCATTACTTCTTTTCTGTAATAAGAAAGTACAACATATAACGCTAATGTTAAGAATTAAATTGAAGCCTTTAAATTATTCGTAAAATATTATGAAATAACATGTTTAGAATGTTTAAAAGATACTAATAAAATATAAAATATTCGCAGATAATTCCATAGTATAGAAATATAGAATAAATTTAACTCAATTCCAAATCTAAAATTGCGTCTTTAGTTTAAAATTCTGTAATTTGTATGCGTGATGATTGTTAAATATAACTCTTGTAAATTATTTTAACTAAGTGTATTCATACAACAATATGCACTTAATAGAGATAATACATGCGCGAATTTCTTTACTTTTATCATCATACATTCAACAGCTTGATTCCTTTGCAACATAATGCAAAGTATCTGTTTCTTTTGTAGGTCAAATAATTCATTTTAAAAACAAAATAAAAATTTAATTTTACAAATAGAATAGAAAATATGCGAATAATTTCCGACGTTATACAAAATTCAAAGAAATTTTTCAATGATTTTTATAAAATCAAAATTGAATATTTTATGTATTTGTACCTGTTACGTTCGCTTTTTCATAAATTTAAATTTTCCAGGGATAGTAAAATGTATTCAGATATATAGATGAGTATAAATATTAGGTTTTTGTAAATTTTCCAATACTTAGGTTATGAATACTACAAGGAAAACTGTTAATTACCAACACATATAAATCACTTGAATAAAGAGTAATAGTAATGATAATGAAATAAATGATTGTTTAGTTTCTGATAGTAGAAAGTTGCTATTAATCTGAACACAATTTCTCTTATTAAGCACACATTATGTACACAGATTGTGATAATTATAAAAAGTAATGATCATGATATATAATACAATTACAAACTTCATTCAGATAATCAACATTTCTAGAGTTATTATCATTTATATCACTTGTATGTTTTTTACACAACTAAACAAAAATACTTATATTACTATATAAATTTTAAGAAAATTCATTGTACATATTACAAATAAAGAATTATACAGTTATATTGTATTTCTTACGTTGGCATTATAAATTTTATGTACCTAACTTCAGCTTATTCTTCGTGTAATACAAATTTGATTGTAAAAATATAACACATTTTTATTATTAAAAATATCAGTATCGTATATAATAAGATTGTATTCTATTAAAAAATATTACAATAATTCATAATACTTAGTATATTTGTAAAGCATAAATATGTATTTTTAAATATAATATTTAATTATTATCGTGTACAATGCAATAGAGAATTGTATATAATAATCAGTCAATAAATAGTTATTTCTTCTATTCATTGAAAATTTAACGAATTATTTATTAAAACATTAATAAGTACAATAACCATGAATACAAAAGTTCATTACAATAAGCTTGAGATTTATGTTCTTAACATCATAAAACACACATAGCTTAATGCGATAAATATAAAAATGAAGTATAGATATAAAAATATGTATCTCAATAGATTTCCAAAAGCAAATTCAAAAATGATAACGTAATTAAAACAAACGGGAACAGCTACTTGAAGTTAGCTGTTAGAAGTTGGCACTCGATTCGAGCGCCGTTTCGCTAGTAGTGGGGATAGAAGGGAGGTGTGGTAACGGTTAGGAGTCTCATCCAACCACGAGAGGAGCTAGTAGCGTTCGCCAGGCAGTATGAGGCGGCGTGGGGCTAGGGACGATGCATGGGCTGCGACTAGGAGGCACTTGGGAGGTAGGGAGGGCATGCGAGCGGAGCACAGTTCAGTAGTCGCCATTGCAAGTCCCCCCGTGCTCTCGTATTCGTGACACTCGGACGCGTGGAGCCGATTTTCCGCTAACCTAATCTCCCCGCGAGGGCCCTAAGTGTGCCCCCCCGATGCAGAGATATTGCACCGAGCTCACCGAAAGATTGTTGAAATCTCTTGATAAGGAATACAATGTAAGTAGCGGAATGAATCCGCGATGCGCCGTCCGTCCGTTCACGCAAACGGCTATCGGGCCACTCTCGATCCCCCGTGCGCCGTGTGCCTGTACCAGTGGCGTGCGCGAGAGTCACTAAGAATGTAGTGTAGCGGCGGCTCCGCGTGTGAGTGAGTAATACGTTTCCTGTGTGTACGTTAGGTGCCAGTCGACAAATCTTCTCTTTGCACGAGTGTGTGCACGTCGAACGTAAACGCGTTGTCGAATACCTGGAGCATAACCTCAATATTTACAACGAAATGTCTAAAATTGAGGAAATCTCTTGAAAACCCCTCCGTTCCCTCCTTTTCCAGCCGTTTCGACAATTTAAACTTTGTTACAGTCGATTGCAATACTTGCAGTAACTTGCATATTATCCTCGTAGTTTTATGAATTTTGAGTATCTAACGTCGTCGTTTTTGAACGTTATCGGAAATAAAATTGCGCCCTTAAAATTCGAGATTTTTTAAACAGTATTTCTTATATCTGGCCCGATCGCCGTTTTATCGTTCGAAATGAATTTTTCGATAAACGTTTCCATCGTCAATATGAGTCAAATACTTCGTTTGCTAGAGATTAAAGAAATGTATATAGACACGTGTTGATTATTTGTATTTTACATTTGTTCACGTTTTATATTCTGTATAAACTGTACTAATAACAAAATTATATTATTATTATTTACCTTTGCAGTTATAATAGTTTCATCATTATAGTAGAGTATGATTCAATTTTTCACTGTAAAATTGACATTATCAAATAATAAAAAAGAAAATCAACAATCTTTTATGTTTGTAATATTATTATGATCAAATCATATTAAAAATATTGTTAATAAAGTATAATTGATTTAAAAAAAATTATGTAAAATGTAGATACTAACTTACCAGAATTCTAAAATTTTCTGTATTTTAATAAAGCATTATATTAAAGTATTTCAAATATTAAATCTAGTCGTTTTTAATTAATTTGCTTAATTTAGTTGAAATATTAATGTAAGTAATAACAAAGTAATTTATAAAATAATGCATGCAGATGTTTTCTTAGATAAATTCAATGTAGATTGTAGTTGATTACTTATATTTGCTTTCAATAATAAATAGGTAATTTAGTAGTAAATAATTAATGAAATAAAGCCATGCACTAAAAAGTTAAATTAATATGATTTTATAATCCAGTGCAACAAAAATTCATGAATATTTTGTATGTTTCATAAAGTAACATTCTATAACAATGTGACACTAATTTATAGGAATTATTAAATTGTATTTACACATGTATTTATTTACCCAAATAACAATATATGTATATTGAAAGGTATATACATGATATAAAATTAATATTTTATCATACGTAATCATTTTCTAAATGAATTTTGACAATTTAATACAGCTGATACTTTATAAAGATACGATAAGTTTGTTATAGAATCAATACTGCTTCATAATGATATAACTATTAAAACTTTTATCAGGTCATCGACATGGGAGCTGTTGTGGATGTCATTACGGCCCTGGAAAAGACGGCGATCACTAAGGAAGTGCTTGAGGTAAAAATTCTATAAACATAATGTATTAATTATGTAATATTTTAAAATGACAAAAGTTGCATCACCTCTATTCTATGAAAATGTTTGATAAAACTACATCATTTCCAGTTATCCTTATTTTTATTAGTTTTATGTTAATTACATAATTATGAAAATGAGTTGTTTAATTATTTCAGATTACAAGGCTTGGAAAATATATCAATGAACTCCGACGAAAAACAAACAATGATGCCCTGGCTAAGCGTGCAAAGGATTTGGTACGCCGTTGGCGTGATATGGTTTTACCTGCTCATTCTACTCCACAGCCTACACCAGCAGATACAGCACCACCTGCTCTTAATGGAGCGAAACCACATAGCCCTGCACTAAGATGTTTCAAACCACAAAGTCCAGCATTAAGAGGTGTAATACCACCTCAAAGTCCATTGTTAAGGGATACCACCCCACTCAGAGTAAGTCATTAAAATTTTCCTGTAAAATATACACTTCATTAAATGTAAATTACATAAATATGTATTGTAAATATGTAAATATGCATTATTTTTCTTTAAGTTAAATATGTTTAATTGTTGATATCGCAAAAGATGATTAATATTTTTGTATATAAAATATTTTTCATTTAATTGACTAAATTTTTAGTATATTCTATAAATGAAATTAAAAAGATAATTTTATATAATTATATGGTAATTATATGGCACAAAAATATTTTATTTTTAGTTATAAAAGTTATACATAACATGAACAACAATATAATTGTTGTTAAAATAGACTGGTAATGTTTGTCCAATGTTTTTCTTTAAGTGGAAAAAATGTATAAATTAATCTTAATAAAAACTAGTAAAAGATATAATACAATCATCTGATACATAAAAATAATACAATTGCTAAGAAATTTGCAATATTAAAATCAGTAGTACTAAAAAATAAATATTTTGAAACAAACTATTATTTTTTAATGATTCATTTTTGAATTACTTTCTTATACTGTATTAGCTTTACTTTATTTTTATATAATATTTTCTTTCATTTCCATTTATAGAACATAATAGTACTATTTAATCATTTATATGGAAAATAGTCAGTACATATTTAATATTTAGGATTAAATTGATAAGGTATACTTGAAACCTTTATATTGTTCCAATTACAGGTGCTTAGTCCAGTTCTATCTGTGCATAGTGATCATTCACATTCTCCTAATGCATCATCAAATAAGCAGTCAATTACAGTAACCAGTAACCACAGAACAAGTTCTGATGTGCCACCGACACTTGGTTCTTCGAGCCAACACCATTCAATGGAAGCAGTGCCACGAACTCACAGTTCAAATAAACGTCTTCGAAAAGATGATTTCAAGGACCAACAAAATTATCAGCATCATGATTCAGACTCAATTACCGAAAGTGAACCCTTTGTTAAAAAACAACGTCTAAATGGCGAAAATATAAGTGGTAATTTAAATATGCAAGTGCCTAGCCCCACAATAAAAGAAAGAATCTCTGATCAGTTTACGGAGTCTTCCACCGATCCTGACGATTCAGGGCCAAAGAAACGTGGTAGAAAGAAAGGCAGTAAATCTATGAAGAAACAACCTGTTTTAGAAGATCGTGTAAAGGAAAAACTAGCTAGTATCTCAAGGAATCCTAAATTAAAGACAACTCAAGAATTGCTGGCTGATCTACGGGCACGCGGCACCAATTCTAGCATTAATTCAAGTGCTCAACCTAGTCAAAGTGTAGAATCATCCAGCATGGAAGATATTCTGAGAAGTAGCAACGAACAAGTATCAAAGTTCCTTCGTTGTCCTCAGAACAATTTGTCCCATAGAAATACAGTTTCTGAAGCCTTGCCAGAAAGCCGGTTAAAGCCCACAGAAAACTGTCATGATGTACCAACTAAGTGTGAAGAATCAGGTGTAGTGTACAAAAAAAAATCAGTTACAAATGTTCAAAAAAATCAACCAGAACAGTGTCAAGATTTAACGGTCGAGGAAATATTGGCTAAGTTACCACCTATAGATCCAAGTTCAATAGATTGGAGTGAGTGTGAAATTGAATCAACCGAAGATCAAAATAGTGCTGAGTATCCACCTAGACAAGTTACTGCAGAAGATATAGAAAGGTTACATACCCAATGTATAGAAGGACTGAATGGAAACTTCCAACCAAAACTATCATCTTTAACTTCGACTTTTAATGAGAAACCAGAAGTAAAAGAAGATGTGTCAGAAATCAATGGTGTAAACAATGTGTATAGCCAACCTAACGAAGAATTTCGAGAATGGCATCAGATGCTAGCAAGGCCCAGTTACAATGGCCAGATCCTCCACATATTGCCTTATGTTATTATCGATTAGTAATTTTATTATCTTATTCTATTATTATCCTGAAACTTGTGAAGAATCCCTGCAAATATTAAAGAGATTGATCAATGATCAATCTATTAAACCGATTTCTATTGCAATTTATGATTGCTCTTTATTTCTATAAATGCTCACGTTACTACCACCCTTGTCATTATTATCGATTCCCATTACTATTCAAATTGGAACTGTCATTTTGAAGATGTAAATCAATCATGCTACAAATATGTAACTGGCAATCATTTTTAACGTGATTATCATTCTCGACGACATTCGTTATCGTCAGTATCATTAATTTTACTTTATTCGTAAAGATCATCTACTATTATAATCAGTGTCATCAGTGTCATCATCTTTATCACCGTCACCGTCACCGTCACCGTCACCGTCACCGTCACCGTCACCGTCATCGTCATCGTCATCGTCATCGTCATCGTCATCGTCATCGTCATCGTCATCGTCACCATCGCCGTCGCCGTCGCCGTCACCATCATCGTCATTGTCACCATCATCATCTTCATTAACATCATCGCCATTACAAAATTACCTTTATTATTATTATTGTTATTGTTGTTATTATTACTGCTACTATTATTACTATTATCATCATTCTCTTCATTATTATTCATTATTGACGTATGAAAGCATCTCTTACATAAGAGAAGAGCATAAAAAAGATATTTGGAAAAATTGAAAAACGTAATGCGGAGCCTTTAATGTAACTTTTAGCTCCAATGCCTTGACAATGTATTTAAGTCCAAAAGGTACTTTTTGAATGCTTCTCTTTCATCTTATGTATTGTATTATCATCATCATCATCATCATCATCATCATCATCATTATCATTATCATCATCATCATCATCATCATCATCATCATCATCATTGTCTTTGGCATCATTATCATACTATGAAAGTATCAGCAAGAATTAATTTCAAATTATAAAATAAACTACCAAACTGAAGTGTTGTTAAACGATCATAAATGGAATCACTTAGGATATGCAAATTAGTTCTTTTTAAAGTTATGGTTAAATTTTTTATAAATATTCGATAGAAAGAATAGTGATCTATAAGAAAGAATTTTTGTTTAACAGGAAACTTATACAGTCATTTGTGTCAGACAATATAACAATTGATCATTTTCTATAAATTATACGAACCATTTCGTTGATTTGCTAAAAAAAAGAGAGGCATACTATACAAATCAAATAATGCACTTTGGCCTATGCATGAGAAAAAAGAATTATTTTCGAAATTATATTCATAATGATGTGAAGTATTAAACAGAAAGTACGAAAAATTAAGGATAGTCATTTTGTTTGCTGTAAAATACTATTTGGTTTATTGAGACGAACTTTACTTTAAGACATTCTTGAAAAATAATATTAAACAAAAAGTATAAGGAATGATTATGGCAAAATGTATAATTGTACCACGCAAAAAATGACGCTATAATATTTCAAATGCTTTTTGATATAATATTTTGTTTATGAATTTAAAATATTTATTGAAATGTACAGAAACTGTCACTTAAATATAATATGAAAAATAATTTTTTGCGCGTGGTAAAAGTAGTCGAACCGAATATAACGGGGCCTTAATTAAAGTTTAAAAGTAAAGAAAGATATTTGTCTAATAAGGTATTATGTTGCATATACTTCTAGCGAAGGTAATACAATTCGAGTACGTTGTAAATTTTTCTATCTCAATTTTATTTCATGTATTATGGATACAGTATAGTAAAATGAAAGTAAAGCTCTAATGAAAAAAAAAAAGAAATTCCTGTTTTAGAAAAATTGCAGTAAAGAATACATACATACACGATTATATTGCCGGAAAAAGACACGTTACGTGCAATGTCCAACGTTCCAGTGTAATATAACAAATATCTCCAAACTATGTACTTTTTTGAACAAAATCGAGCAGAATGATTTAATTGTTTGAAAATGTAAATATATTATTCAAAATCACGAAACACTGGAACTTAAAGTATATTAACATTTTCTGTAATAACCAAATAATACTATGTGTTATGTAAAAAAAAGAAAAAAAAAGCAGAGGAAAAAGATTGTACATACTATGCAACTATACCGTGTATAATGAAAGCTTTGTGAAACATTAAGAATTAGAAAAGAAAATGTCTGATTTTATATGTGTTCATTTTTTGATAATACAGTTACCTTTTATTTAATTTCACTAAAAATTGATTGTTTTCTAAGTAAAATTATTTTCCAAATACTTAAATTTTATGCTAAAGATTTTCTAAGAAATCATTAACAAGAAATGGAAAGCCACATGCTGAAATTGTTTTTCTTTTGAGTTAAGCATCACAATAGTAATGGTTGAATATAGTGAAATATTTCCAAAATAATGTATATATAAATTTTTATAGTTTCTCGTGTTGTCCATTTATATTAATTAAAATGCCTTGCTTTACAAGTATATGATAAGTATTTTATTTATACAGACATTTGTATACCTTTGTATTTAAGATTAAAGACACAAGCTAATATAATTAAATATCATAATACACATAGTAGTTTCAAGATTGTTTAAACAATTGTTTTTCATAATTTCAAACTATATAATTTAATTTATAATTCATTTCACATTATCTGGATAATTTATTTCATTTTGAACTATATTCATTTTCTACTTACCCCAATTAGTTTGAGAAACTTTCGTTTTGCTGTTTGGTAGAATTTAATTTTTTTTTGAACATGTAAATGTTATTTGCTGTAAAATACCATGAAACTCAATTACTCGAATTTAATGGATTTTAAGCAAATCTTGGTTTGCATCAATCTACATGCTTTGTTATCGTTACGATTGCAGAGTGTACGATGCGTTTATTACGTAATACATCAATAGCAATTTAGTTTCAAAGTAACGAATGAAATTTCCATACGAAGGATGAGCAATGTTTGAATTCATACAGTGATTATTTATAATACAATAAACAATTATAAAAGAAATTCCATATTTCTATTAAGATGCACTTTCTTCATCGAAATATTTTTATTTAAATATATTAGTAACCGCGTCATATATCTTGTTCATAAAAAAGGAAAAAAATGACACGAACAATCGTGCACCATTCAGTATATTCATACGAAAAGTGCTTATCTTCGAAATGAAGTCCCGTGCCTTTTGTATCTCTGCATTTCTATCGTAATACATAACGATTGTTGGAAAAAATGATATAATATGGAATGATCAAATAAAGTGAAACAAGCTCGATGTAGCAAAATAACATTATCGAACAATATGATTTCAGGATGAAGCATTTTATTTTTATTTAGTTACCGCCAGCTCGACTCATTGTTAAAGAACAGAGCTTGAATATTTACACTTGAAGTCTATCGACAATGCTATTTAAGAGTTCAGTAATAAACCAGATTTCAAAACTATCAATACACATCAATGATTTATTCCTGTTATCAGTTTAAATATGATTGAACTTTTGATATCAATCAAAATACATATTTAATATTGAATAATATTAACCAATATTGAATATATTATTGAATATACTACATTCTTTATGATACATAATACTATACTATGTCTTATTTTTTTAGAAAATACTTGACTTAAAATAATTTATTTGGCATTACAATAAAATTATTCGTATCATTTATTTTTATTTATTATAATGCTTTAAATTTATTTCGAATGAATTTTTCTTCAAACATGCAAATTAGCAGATTAATTATTATAGTTAAGTAACAAAACGAGTGTTAAGGGAAATAGTAACTTTTAATTATAAATAATTATTATAAATTACGTTTAAACGATTGGTTTTTGTTAGTATTAATACAAATATATTATAAATAACATCAATGTGTTTAATAATATTACGCATATTTTTAATAGTATGATAATTTAATTACATAATATTATATTAAACATAAAATATGTTTACGGATAAAGTTTTACTTTAAACCTTTCTTCTTTTTTTATGTCAAGTAATGTAATTCCTAAGAATTAGTTGTTTATAAAAATAATGCAGTATAATAAGATTATTTTACGTTCAGTAATATATAACAATTGGACGATTTTGAAATCATTTATTTTATAAGATACCTCAGGTAAGCATACGTGCATAAGAGGGCGGCATTGTAATAGCGACTGCGCAATCAATCGAAATAGCACGATATGGTATACATGTACATGTATAGGTACATGTACAAAGTGGGGGATATTTCTTCTAGTGTCTCTCTCCTTCCATTCGTTAGCACGGTTTTTAGTAAGTTCGCGTTTATAGAAGACTTACGATGTTTAGTAGTTGCACTTAAGTCGTGAACTATAGTACTAGTAAGGAAATATGCAGTATTCAGTGTATTGCTCCTTCTCGTAAAAGAACGCGTACGTGCTTGCATGTGAATGCGCCTCGATTTTATATTTTTCTACATTTTACCGTGCAGTTTTCAATATGTGTCACTAAGTTTTTTCCATAAATTTACACAATTCGTCAATCATATGAAAAATGTCGAAGCCCGGTGACAAACAAAGCTATGCGCAGACATACAAACTCGTCGTCGTTGGTGCGGGTGGTGTAGGAAAATCTGCGATCACAATACAATTCATTCAAGTAAGTACTTTTTATGGCCAATAGGTGTAGCCAATATATACGTAGGTGTACATGGACGTATATGTAGAGACATACGTATTATCTATGCTGCGTACGTACGTTACTATATATATATATATCTCTCTATCTCCATACATATATATATATATATATATAAGTCATATGTATGTGACATTTATTTGTGTACATATTAGATTTGTCAATCAAATTCGCTTTTATGCATCCTACGTCATTCACAATAAATTCAAATAATAGAATAATAACACTTTTATAGATTACTATATTGCAAATATTCTATAAATGATATTGACATATCGAAATTATAAATTTGAATATTACATTTCAGTTATGACCATTTTTAATAGTACACTTACGTTGAATACTAAAAAATGGAACAAGCCTCCTTTTATCAGCGATTATGTCATACACGAGGAGGGATACGATTATCGATGTACACAATATACGCATACTGTACACGCATACAATTACGATATTTTATTTGATGAAATTGTATAATGTTCTGATATATATATCTTAATACGCGAATAGATATTATTTTCTATATATTTCAAAGTAATAATGTACAATGTTTATAATTTATTAGTTTTTCAATTTATGTAGTCTTTTTCAATATAATAATTTGTAAATAATTTTTCAATTTTTATGGAATATAATTATGTTTCTACTATATTTATATTCTTTTATACTTAAAAAATATATCGAAGTACATTGCAATTATATTAAATTTTAAAGAAACTTTTGTTTTTTATTGTTATTTGTAGCGAAATTATTACCTATTATTTGTGTTCCGATCGATATTAATTAAATATTGTTGATATTTTTCAGAGTTATTTTGTAACAGATTACGATCCGACAATCGAAGACTCTTATACCAAACAATGCGTTATCGACGATATTCCTGCGAAACTTGACAGTGAGTACATTAATAAAAATTGGATAAAACGTATTAATTATTATTTCATATTTATTTGTGCAATTATAATAACTTTTATAACTTATTATATGTTAATTTTCATGCAGTTCCATAATGAACCGTGGGTTTGTTATTGTAAGATTATAATTCCTCATTTACTCAATTTTAGAATGAATATTTTATGAAAAAATTAGAATGGTCAGCTTATAAATATATAAAATAATATTATATATTTTTTAGAATGTTTGCGATGATAGAATTAATAATACTTATGTAATTTTAGTATTAGACACAGCAGGTCAAGAAGAGTTTAGTGCAATGCGGGAACAATATATGAGGAGTGGCGAAGGTTTTCTTCTTGTATTTTCAATAACTGATCCTTCATCTTTTGAAGAAATATTAAAATTTCACAAACAAATACTTAGAGTAAAGGATCGAGAAGAGTTTCCCATGCTTATGGTTGGCAACAAAGCTGATTTGGACTATCATAGAGTTGTAAGTGAATAAAAATAGAAACAATTAATCTAAAGGTGATATTTTAAAGCAGAAACATTATATTAATAGTATATTTATATTAACTGTTTTAGATTGAAGTTGAAGAAGCACAAAATAGGGCTCGTCGGTTGAAAATTCCTTATATCGAATGTAGTGCAAAATTAAGAATGAATGTTGACCAAGCCTTTCATGAATTAGTAAGAATTGTCAGAAAGTTTCAGTTGTCTGAAAGACCACCACTAGAATTAAACTATAAGAAAAACAAGAAGAAATGTTGTATGTTGTAATGCCTCGTGTGTTCTTAAAGGATAAATTTTTGTACTAATAAAATGGTACAAAATAATTGAATTAAGATTAGAACTGTGGAATCAATTGAATCATCAGAATTATCAGAAAAAGTTAAATTGAAAAAAAGAATTTGAAATTAGAAATAAGGGATTGTTAGAATGTGTTTAAAAATCATATTTAGTTCATTTTAATTCAAAACTTATTTACACAATTTACAAGAAAGAACATATATATATATATATATATAAGTCATATGTATGTGACATTTATTTGTGTACATATTAGATTTGTCAATCAAATTCGCTTTTATGCATCCTACGTCATTCACAATAAATTCAAATAATAGAATAATAACACTTTTATAGATTACTATATTGCAAATATTCTATAAATGATATTGACATATCGAAATTATAAATTTGAATATTACATTTCAGTTATGACCATTTTTAATAGTACACTTACGTTGAATACTAAAAAATGGAACAAGCCTCCTTTTATCAGCGATTATGTCATACACGAGGAGGGATACGATTATCGATGTACACAATATACGCATACTGTACACGCATACAATTACGATATTTTATTTGATGAAATTGTATAATGTTCTGATATATATATCTTAATACGCGAATAGATATTATTTTCTATATATTTCAAAGTAATAATGTACAATGTTTATAATTTATTAGTTTTTCAATTTATGTAGTCTTTTTCAATATAATAATTTGTAAATAATTTTTCAATTTTTATGGAATATAATTATGTTTCTACTATATTTATATTCTTTTATACTTAAAAAATATATCGAAGTACATTGCAATTATATTAAATTTTAAAGAAACTTTTGTTTTTTATTGTTATTTGTAGCGAAATTATTACCTATTATTTGTGTTCCGATCGATATTAATTAAATATTGTTGATATTTTTCAGAGTTATTTTGTAACAGATTACGATCCGACAATCGAAGACTCTTATACCAAACAATGCGTTATCGACGATATTCCTGCGAAACTTGACAGTGAGTACATTAATAAAAATTGGATAAAACGTATTAATTATTATTTCATATTTATTTGTGCAATTATAATAACTTTTATAACTTATTATATGTTAATTTTCATGCAGTTCCATAATGAACCGTGGGTTTGTTATTGTAAGATTATAATTCCTCATTTACTCAATTTTAGAATGAATATTTTATGAAAAAATTAGAATGGTCAGCTTATAAATATATAAAATAATATTATATATTTTTTAGAATGTTTGCGATGATAGAATTAATAATACTTATGTAATTTTAGTATTAGACACAGCAGGTCAAGAAGAGTTTAGTGCAATGCGGGAACAATATATGAGGAGTGGCGAAGGTTTTCTTCTTGTATTTTCAATAACTGATCCTTCATCTTTTGAAGAAATATTAAAATTTCACAAACAAATACTTAGAGTAAAGGATCGAGAAGAGTTTCCCATGCTTATGGTTGGCAACAAAGCTGATTTGGACTATCATAGAGTTGTAAGTGAATAAAAATAGAAACAATTAATCTAAAGGTGATATTTTAAAGCAGAAACATTATATTAATAGTATATTTATATTAACTGTTTTAGATTGAAGTTGAAGAAGCACAAAATAGGGCTCGTCGGTTGAAAATTCCTTATATCGAATGTAGTGCAAAATTAAGAATGAATGTTGACCAAGCCTTTCATGAATTAGTAAGAATTGTCAGAAAGTTTCAGTTGTCTGAAAGACCACCACTAGAATTAAACTATAAGAAAAACAAGAAGAAATGTTGTATGTTGTAATGCCTCGTGTGTTCTTAAAGGATAAATTTTTGTACTAATAAAATGGTACAAAATAATTGAATTAAGATTAGAACTGTGGAATCAATTGAATCATCAGAATTATCAGAAAAAGTTAAATTGAAAAAAAGAATTTGAAATTAGAAATAAGGGATTGTTAGAATGTGTTTAAAAATAAAATTTAGTTCATTTTAATTCAAAACTTATTTACACAATTTACAAGAAAG